AAGGAAGGAAGGAAGGAAGGAAGGAAGGAAGGAAGGATTTCTGACACTCCCTGCCAGCTTCCCACAAGCAAAGTCAATGGGGAAGTCAGCAGCAAGTCGCAAGTCACTCACATTCCCACTGTTTTTTTGCCCTTGGTCATTCTGTTTCTCTGTTTAGATAAGGAAATATCTCTGAAACGATGACCCAACAGGTCATGGGTTGTCTAGTGTATATTAAACATGGGGACTTAGCCTTGCAGCTTTGGTTAACCCTTCTACTCATTTTGAGTGAGGTCCTGAACTCAAAGTTTTATTTTGAAAGCACTTGTGGAATGCTGAAGAATACTAAACATTTAATGAGTCAAAAAGTTAGTGTATAGATGGTATAGTAATTTCTTTGAAAGTTTTTATGAGAACTCCGAATGCATTTTTTGGAAGTTCTTAGACACAATTTAGCCTTTTGAACAAAATTGCTTGTCGGGGGACACTGAAAGAATAGCCCTAACTGGCAATTAAAGGAGTACAAATATGGATTACTGGATGTTGCTTTCTGCATAGTTTTCCAAATTATGTATATATTATTGATTCTCATAGTCTTCTCCTTCTCTCTGCAGTGTGCCTTCAGTACAGGGGGTCATCTGTTCGCAGCAGTTAATGGAAATGTGATTCACATTTACTCTACCATAAGTTTTGACAATGTCATAAATTTGAAAGGACACAATGGTAAGGTCAGTGATTAGACCTATAAGAAAGGTAAAATCCAAGTTAAATACAAACACAAGGAAAAAACTATCTCCAAGTAGGAGGTGAATAATTTGAACTTCCAGAAATCTTCTCTTTAGAATCAGGGAGAAGAGAATAAGGCTGTTCCAGTTGATCAATATCAGCTAATGTATTTCCTTTAAACTATTTGGGCTGGCTCCTTCCTCCATTGGAATGTATAAGTTTCTTTCCAGGTTCCTCCTGGACTTGATTCTTCAATTTCTCTTCTGCTTCAGACAAGAACCCTGCAGGAGGAGGACATCATTAGTATGCAGGGCAAATTTAGATATGAACATTACTAAAAACAGTATTAAACCAAAATTTGGCCTTCCTGAAGAAACAGGAAAACAAACTGAATACCTTGTAAATACATTATTCAAAGTATATGTCATTAACTTATCAAATTAATCAAGGAGCATGTAGATTTCACTGAGAAACAGTAGTTTGTCATTATAAATAATAATGTATACAATAATTATGAAGCCTAGAGCTGCCTAACTCTAGATTTGGATTACAGCAGAAGTACTCTATGTAAAGCCCAATGTGGCCTTCAGAGGTCTTCAATGTAACCTCTCAGAACCCTCCAAAATGTGATTTCATATTGTAATTTTCAATATGACAGAAGGGGAAAATTTTTGAATGCATGACTGAAAAGTAATATTAGCTGCTTAATTGTAAATACATTTAAATGGAAGTCAAATTAAACAAGACTTTTGTCAGGCCTCCTATAGTTTTTGTAGAGCAGCCCCTGGCGTTTCACATAAAGGCAGATCATCTTTATTGTGATCTGCTGTGTTCTTATCAGACTTTCTCAAAAATAAGTTGTGAGCACAGGGGAGTGGAAAAGGCTGCATTTTACGATTCTAGTATAAAAACGGAATGAACACAGTGGCATAAATAAATGGGAATAATACAAAGCAAAAACTGCTTAAGACTAATTGCCTGAATATTGTGCACATTCTCATCCTCTTACCTTTACCTTTCTCCCATGCCATCCCAGGTACGGTCAGTTGTGTGGAGCATGGATGATTATAAATTGGTATCCTGTGGCACAGATGGAGCAGTATATGAATGGAATCTCCAGAATGGCAAAAGGGAATCAGAGTGTGTACTCAAGTCTTGCAGCTACAGTGGAGTAGCAATATCACCTGATGCAAAAGTAATCTTTGCTGTTGGTTCCGATCATTCTATCAAGGAGATTTGTGATTCTTCGGTGAGCCTATGCACACATACTTATACGCATACACTGTATCTCAGTGAAGTTAGTGTTATGCCCTGAAATAACCTCGTGTATAATTTTCTATAGCTGAGACTATCCAGGTGGTGCTAGTTGTTTTCATAATTATTTTCTCTCTGGTAGTCTAGTTATTAAATTATTTTCTGGTACCATAGACACTTCCTCCTAAAGATCACTACTGGAGATAGTGGGGCCTTATCACGCAATGGGGGGTGGGGGTAGGAAGGAAAGCAGATATGAGGCATTCACTGTGGTGGATATGGTTGGTGGTACTGTGAATCCTGTTCAAAAATAATCTTTACTCTGTGACTTACTCCATATAGAAACATCTACAAAGTTGTAATGCTTAGAGGAAATGCTATATTTCAGATACTGAGAGAAGTGCCCTCTTTTGATGTTACCTACACTTCCATTGTGATAGCTCATTCTGGCCGGATGGTATTCACTGGAACCTCTGCTGGGACCATCCGGTCCATGAAATACCCATTACCTGTGCACAAGGAATACAATGAGTATCAAGCCCATGCTGGTCCAGTTACCAAGGTAAAGTCTCTGTATTACCTTGACTGCCTTAGCTTTTGTGGGATTTTTGTTTTTTTCACCTTAGGCAACAGAAGGCAGCTTTCGTATGGTTGGGATCTGTACTTCAATTTGTTTGGCTTCCTATGAGCTCCAGGAGGTTTGTTTTACTTTGGCTTTTTTTTTTTTGCATTGGGGAGTTTGAGAGAGGTTTAAGAGGTGCTTAAATCTCCTTAGAAGCCCCCACAACTGAGAAAAGCAGCTGGGGTGGTCTAAGGGCTCCAAGAATGGTGCTGGGGAACTGCAGCATCTAATAATGCAGGTATGCATTATTTAAATTACCAGGTAACTTATGTATCTATTTATATATGTATTTACCATATATTTATATATACATGAATGCATTATATCAATACGTTTAATGGCATTATACCATAGATTTCTGTAATAATGAGGAGAGAAGTGATGAAAATGAATCACCAATCTACAATTGGCATTATTACTACTCTCCATATTCATTTCATTTGTCTGGGAGAATGCAAGGAAGAAATTTCAGTATTTTAGCAGACTGCAGTAATATGAGGATTAAGTGTCTGTATGTGCATTTTAAATATCATGAACTTTTCTGTGTTATTTGTAAAACTGGTGGTATATTGGTTTGATTTGATCTGATTTGTTTTCCACCTTTCTGCCTAGAAGGTGTTATTGGACCTAATTAAAAAGACAAGAAGGGGAAAGGGGAAGAGTTCAGAAACATTCAAAGTATATGTCATTAAC